TTTAACGAGTACAGTATATTCTATTAATACGGGTAAGATATTACAACCATGATTAGAGGAAGAAATTATGTGAATAAAAAATGAAAGGGACCAAGTAATAATTAAACCAATTATTATAGGAACTCCCACATTGCAAACAACTTCTGAATTAGGAATGAAGCCAAAATGGACGCCATGTGATCAAGCTAACGAAAACGATCGAAAGCCACCACCACCATACAAAGAAAAAAGAGGTCCCCCATTAACCGATAATGATTAATCAGAGGCCTCAGCTCACTATTATAATATATGGCTGGCTGGCTACCCACTCTTCACATGCAAATGCAGCCCTTAATCCACTATTTAATTCCACTAATAATCACTTTACTCACTCAACCGCCCCTTTCTTTTTAGGGCAACACCAATTGGGTTTTTCTTTAACAATAAGGGGGTTTCGCGATTTCGAATATTAAATCAAAGATTGAATTTCCTACACAAAAAAAGAAAGCAAAGCAAAAGGTCATAATCAAAAAATAAACATGTAGAGAAGAAAAAAAAAGCAAAAGATGGACGAACGAGACCCAACACGACACGCTTTCCTTTCCTAGTAGGCCAAAGTACGCCTGTAGGGTTATTACTTATATTACGCCTTACGCCGCACCTTTAAATTAGGGCAAAAAGGTGGCGCGCTTGGTCGGGTTGCCCCCTCCAACAAGGCACATTGCGGTGAAGTGATGCAGCTCGATGATGGCCCCTCTCTCAAGAAACCTACGTAGGCCACGAGGAAATGAAAGCCACGTAAGCATGCATGGGGCAGGGGCGCAGGGGAGTCATCGACGTGGAGTGTGCTTGTTCGGATATTCGGCGGAGAACGGGCAGCCAGCCGTCGTCAATCGGCGGAACTACGTACCGAGAAAGCGGCCGGCGGGAAGGAACTAGATCTTGCGGGTAGAAATGAAGAGAAGAACGAGAGAAGTTCCCGTCCGGATTTCCTTTACTCTCACGGAAGCGGAACCCTACCAAATCAATGGGTTTGAGATATTTTGAATTCCTACTCAAAAGATGAGAAGGAAAGCAAAAAGCCATACATATATATGTTGAAGGAAAAGAATGGACTCAACGGGAATGAATCAGGTCAGTAACCTTATGGTGAGTAACCATGAGTAACTCGTCCACATCAGCATGACATCAGCATCCTCTCTCTCATGAAAAGCCTTTAATTTTTCCCTCTTTAATCTTTGACGGACGATTTCTCGCCCATTTTAAGTCAAAATTTAATTTTTTTTGCACAGTTAGATCAGATTAATTGTGCTCTTCAAAATGATATCCACTTTAATATATTTTTCGAACAAAAAAATTGACCCATTTTTTACCAGCCTATACCATATGGTATTGACTGGTATTGAAATAAAAGCATACCGATGTTTTGAAAAACGTACCATGGTGGTATGAACAAACCAATACTGTAGGATGGTTGAATACATGATAGTAGAAGTATATTAATTGTAATTTACGACTTTTAACATTGTATACCATACAATACCCGTACCAGGGTGGTATTGTATGGTATTGTGTGGTATTTTTTGGTCCTGTAATTTATTCACCCACAAATTTGTAGATCCAATAGATCATGATGAACTCGTCCCTTCTGTGCAAACGTTTTCAAAAACGAATTAAAAACGAAGAAGATACCATACAATACCACCCCGTACCAGGGTGGTATTGTATGGTATTGTGTGGTATTTTTTTGTCCTGTAATTTGTTCACCCAGAAATTTGTAGATCCAGTAGATCATGATGAACTCATCCCTGCTGTGCAAACGTTTTCAAAAACGAAATAAAACCAAGGAAGATACCATATGGTATGCAGTTGGTACCGAGAGGCCAGAATTTTTTTTTTCCTAAAAAATTATTGAAAATTGATCTCATTTTGTAGAGCACGGTGAACTCGTTCCATCTGTGCAAAAAAAATTAAAATCCGAGTTAAAACGAAAAAGATATGAGTCAATTAAGAAAGCTAGTGAAAATAAAAATAGCCTTTAATTCTCCATCCTTAGATCTGGATTTTCTAAATGAAGGGTCCAGATTTGGTTATTAATGGGTGCATAACCCATGGTTATGCACCCTATCTTGAGCCGACTCCAACACCACACAACTGAAAATACGCTTTGATTACCGTACCTTTAATTAAGTGTCTGTTTGGCGACGCAAAGGGTGGCGCGCGATCAGTTTCCCCTCGAACAAGGCACATTCCTTGGATGGAGGGGACTGGGGAGGCAAGCAGGACAGCAAATGAGCCGCACGGCTCACGAGCTGCTCAGCGTTTGACTCGAAAAATACTCATTCGATAGTAAATGAGTGAGGTCAAGTTAGACTTTGTTGAGCTTATTTTGTGAGTTACCTTGTTTTGAGCTATGAGCTAACTAGATAATATGACTAGCTAGTTAACCATTTCAACTAGCAACTTATCAGTGACTCGGTTAATAGTTTATCATTGACTTATTGATAATTCATAGGTTTGTTAGATTATATATCTCGCCGCATATGATGTTCAAGAATTTGAGCATGTGATCAAACATGTCTCATTCATAATTTCAAAAAAGAAATTATATATGTCATAGATTGCTCATAGAATAATTTAAAATTATTAATTAAATGTCATGATACCTTAGATCAAGTCGATGTCATCACTAATTGATGAGCTGAGCTTGAGTAGAGCTTGTGAGCTCATTAATGAATTGGCTAGATCCAAGCTCGACTAGTTTATAACAAGCCGAACTAGATAAAAATTCAGCTTGAGTCGGCTTATTTGCAGCACTAGAGGCATGCCCCCAAAAGAAGTAGTTGGGCTGCAAGGGAACTATGTATGTAGGGGTGTTCAAACAGAGTGGTTACTATGATAACCATTTTAACTTTGTAGTATTTAGATAATTTAGTTTGATTAATTTAGATAATTGATTTGGTTTCGTTAAACTTCGTACCTTGTTTGGTTTAGGCTTCAGGCACTCCTAAGTCCTAACCAATCAAACCAATTGACTACTATAAATTTAGCTTGAGATTGATAGTCTTCACAATCGGTGAATAAAAGCATTATAAAAATTAGAATTTATGATTGATAGCCTTACAAGTCAGTGAATTATAACATTAAAAAAATCAGTGAAATCTTTAATGGATAGTCTTTAAAATCGATGAATAATAGCATTGAAATAATATATCTGCCAAAATTTATGATGACAGGATAGCTTCAAAATTGGTGAAGAATTGTCTTAAAAAAATTCGACCAAAATCTGTGACGAATAACCTTCAAAAGAAGTAATTAGTAGCTTCAAAATCGTATAGATTTAAAAACAATTGACAAAATTGTGATGGATATCCATTAAAAAGTGATTAATATCTTTCAAAATGGGTGAATAATGGCTTTCCAACCGACTTAGTGAGTCTAATACCGGAAAACGATCTTTTATTACCTCCGGTTGGCCAAGGACAAGTATCTCTTTATTTTTTTCTTTTTTGTGATGGATATCCTGAAAAGAACAATAGATATTGTAACATATTAGGCAAATCCCACATCGACAAAGCATGGGAGAGATCTATGGTTCATAAGTAAGAAACCGACTTTAACAGACAAGACGCGTTTTGGAGTGTAATGGAGGAGTTCTTGTGAGAACTCCGAAGTTAAACATGCTCAGTGTGGAGTACAACAAGGATTGGTGACCTTATGAGAAGTCACATTGAATTGCACCCCAAGTCGAAAACCGTGAGGGTCGAGGGCCCAAAGCCGACAATATCTTTGTCGGGAAAAAATTCGGGATGTTACAGATATACCATAAAAAAAACATTTTTGGGTTGAATTCCCAAATTGAAAAGAAAGGATGATGGTCGATCGAAAGTCAAACTATCGATAATAGTTTTTTTTTTTTTGCTACGATATAAATAAAATTTTGCTACTTTATAGATGAGTCCATAACTTAATTTACATCCTTTGCAGGGTACAAGTAAAGGACTGAGCCCTGTATGCAAAATGGAAGCAGTTCAACGTACCGCTGCAAATCTACGAGAAAAAATAACTGGATTGCTAAATGTCGCCCTTAAAATTGCTAAACATTGCCCTAACTTAGATGTCAAATTACCTGTATACCCTTAATGAAAAAATCAAAATTGAAAGAAACAAACAAACCCTAAACCTAAACCTTCTCCTGCGTTCCCTTCCCTCTGAAACTCCCTCTTCACCAACTCACCGCCGATCACCCTCTGCAACCGCCTGCCACCTCGCGTCGCCAACCGTCAGCGACCTCTGCACCTCCCTCCATCGCGCCGATCACCCTCTACAACTGCCTGCCACCTCGCGTCGCCAACCGTCGGCGACCTCTGCACCTCGCTCCATCGCGCCGAACTCCCGCGATCCCACCCGCGCAGCAGCCTTCGCTGGAGAAGATGCTTCGTCGGAGAAGAAGAAGGTAAAAAAAAACCGTGCCGACCGCGGTTATACCGACGTTCAACGCGCGGTTGAACCGACGGCTGACCGCGGTCAAACTGCGGTTGGACCATGGCTGGACCGCAGGTCATTTGCGGTCCAACCATGGTCCAACCGCAGGTGATTTGCGGTTCTCTTTTTTTTTTCGTTTTTCAGTTAATGTATTTACCTCGTCGGAGTCGCTACTCATGATTCAGACGTCCTACCGATGATATCGGCTTCAAAATGACGATGATGTATTTTTCTCTTCTTAGATAGTGTTTTTTTAGTCCAAGTGGTGTTTGTTTGATAAAGGGAAAGTAAAGAAGCTAAGGGGGTTAAAAGTGTAACTTTGATTCTTTTTAGTGCGACCTTTAGCAACTCCCAAAAATAACACCCATATATGGAACATATTCACATAAAGACAAATGAAACCAATACAATATATACAAATGCATGGCTTTGGGATAATCAGGGTTGTATGGCTGGGGCTACAACCAATTTTGTGCTATCAGTTTCACCTGTTAAACGAATCAAAACATAGTCTCAGCTACGCATGTCCAAGGAGCTAGGAAAAAAGACGAAGCAGGCCTATGAGGCTTCATATAGATCTAACACCGCATCACAAAGTCATATGATAACCGAGATCGATCTAGCTAGTTTGACTATCACACAACTTGTCAACTCATTACAAACAACTGAGTTAATTAAGAAGCTCAATCAGTAGTGAAGATAACTCATATGAAGCTTTGTGTGTAAAGCAACAAAAAAGAGAAGATCAGGCATCTGGATTCTGGAACCAAGAAGATTTCTGGAAATATGCGGAAAGAAAAGGTGGAACGGACATACAAATGCCAGATCGTACGGAAACACTTGCCTTTTTTTCCTCTTCTTCTCGCTTGCATGCAACTTGATGATGTAGCTGTGCTTTCCCTTCGCCATTCTGCTCTTGCTTCAGACTTTCTTCCATCTGAGCTGCTTTCTCCTTCTTCTGCTTCCTCCCTACTTCATGCTGGCAATTTCCTCTCCTTTCGCCTCCACCATATTTGGTATTGGAAGCTAATGAAGGTCGAACAATGAGTGGATTAGCTAACAGTTTGAGGTCACTGATCACTGAACTGTGGATTTTATCCTTTAGTCAGCAAAATCTTCACTGAAACTCGCAATTGTATCCTTGCACACATAAAGATCAATTACACCATATCAAATAATTGGTAAATGATGTAGTTGAAAACCTGGAAGTCCCCAGCTTCTCCACTTTAACTTCCTTTCACAAGGCTGGAATGCGAGCAGATCGATTCAGACATCCTAGCTAATCAATACATAAAAAGAACAGACTACAAGGTACAGGCAAATCAGGATTCCAGACTACTGATAAACTTTAGATTACATGGTATGCTCGCAATTCGATGGTGTACCGTGTGCATACTAGATCACTAATGCTCTCATCAAAGTGAAATTGCTCCAAGTCATTAACCGGGAAGATGCAACAACCAGTGTCATGAACCCAAAATGGAACCAACCAATACAGTGTGCGTAAAGCAGTCCAAGCAGTACAAGGGAGGATGCGGGCAACAATCAGCATAACAGCATGATCATTTGCTCGCCTCTGCCATCCTCTTGCGTATTTCATGAGCAGTGTTGAAAATACCCAGAGTCGGCTTGTTGCAGACGAAGCATTTCTTGTTCTTGGAATGATGCTGCAAGACAAGAAACAGAAGAAAACACGAAACTAAATGTTATCCACGTGATAGAAATTGCAAGGAAAACATATAACTTCACAACATAATTAATGTTCACGACTCAAAATTTCAAGAGATGACTAGGTGAGTACCTTTAGAGCACAATGTTCACAGAAGTAATGCTTGCATTTGGTCACGACAGGGTCTTCAAAAGGCTCCCTACAAATGAAACATGCAAATGGCAAGGCATCATCATCGTCGTCATCATCGTCATCATTAGCTTCATCAAATTCGCCATCCTCCTTAGCCAAGGCACCCAAAGCTAATTTTCTCTTCCTTGCCTTCTCTGCCTCGTCCCACTCCTTCTCCATCTGCCATCCAGACTTGTAATCGCCTCGATCGTGCATAAACTTGCAAGAATCTCCATAACCACAGTAACCAGTTTCTTTGTAATCTTTACATATATCCGGCTGATAGTCGAATCTTGCCGAGACTCTGATGTGTGCAGATGCCCTAAGTGGTCCATGCGATCCACCAGCTTTCTCACTTGCAATTGTTAGCTCTCTTCTAAAGCCAGCTTTGTGATCTGTATATCCATGAATTCCCTTGTACAGCTTCTCGTTGCCACCCGAAGAACCCTGTTTGTTACCCTTCATATCCTCCCCAGCTTGCTTTAGAGCTCTCTCGCGTATTGCCCGGGCATCTCTTCCGAAGTCTGTCTCGGTTTCCAGAGTTGCTGTTGCCCTGCTGTCATTTTGTACCTGAATTACCTTTGAAGACTCAAACTGAAAGATGGGCTTCTCATTGTTGTCTGAGTTGGATTCTGATGGCTTTGAGCTCTTCGAAGGTCCGGACGAGAAGTATAGCTTGTTATCAGCCTTTGGCGCCTTCTTCTGATTGCTTAAGAAAGAGCTTTCGGTTTTTGAATCCTCGGCATTATCATCTTCCACTGCTCTCTTCCTGATGTTCTTGCTCTTAGTTGGCTTTCTGAAAAAGTTGCATACTGCAGAATGTGGAGAAGATGTACCATAAATTAAGAACCCAAGAAAGAGTGAACAACGCAAATTAAAGCAGAAACTATGGTTGAAGACAAAGCATCAATACCTTGTTCAGGCTGTTGAGATTCTCCTGAATCTGTCATATTTGGATGAACGGGGCAAAGAGATCAGGGCTTCACCAAAAATTGTCCTCTGCAAAACATCATTACGATTTCAGCAACTAAGCACAATTATAACACTACCCACCGATACTAAAGCACAAGTCTGTCCATACCAAAAATCTCAACATGGAACACCCCAGAAACCCTGTCAACAGCTTAATCAACATGGAAAATATGATTCCCTCTCTCTGAGAACACTTCCAATGGAGAGAAGAGAAATTCACCTAGAAACTTGCATTACATAGGCAGGCCGATTGCAAGGGGTAAAACACTGATAACTAGGGCAAAATTCAGAAAGCAGATATTGAATTCACAGAATGAAAGAAGCGAAACCAAAGCTGTAACAGTGATGGCAATGAACAACTAACCTTGCAATCGCAAACCAGTACAAGTCTCGTCTTCTTCTTCCACTTGCCAGCAATCAAACATTCAAACTTACGCCTCCATCAACAAAACTAGCTAGATAGGAAAGAAGCGCGGCCTTATCTGTCGATTCAACAAACGCTTACAAGAAGCTCGTCGTCAGTTTTCAGTTCCCCTAGTCGAATTTCTTCAAGCTCAAGCGACAAGAAAGGACGAATTAGGGACAGAAAAAGAACTTCCGACTGCGCTCTCTGGCCGCCCTCGCACGCTGCCGCGACTCCCGTCTCAGTCCCGCCTCCTCCTCTGCCTTGCTTCCCCGCGTCTCCTCCGCCTGAAGCGCCTCCTTGCCGCTAGAGTTCGAGCTTCGATTGCCGGCGGCAAGCTAGTCCGACGCTTCTCTCTCTGTTAACGGGGATCGGGAATTTTGCCCTCCTGTCCTCGAGAGATGGTAGCGGTTCATCTTCCGGCCGACTGGTTCAATAAAAGCTTTCTAATTTCCTTTTTCTTCCGCAGATTCGCGTTTCTTATTAACCGAACCAACTTCAATCTCGGTTCGAAACGTCTCCAAGAGACAGAACGACGTCGCCGCTAAAGCTGTTTTTTATGAACCTAACGGCCCGGCCCAACTTATGACTTGAACGATTTGGGCCACTTCGGCCTTTCCAAACAAGCTTCCTTCTTTCGTTCCCTTCTTCTTCTCCTCTCAACACGACACTCTGTTCTGTTTCGACCTTCGAGAGAATAATGGGATCATACCAATTGGATCGTGGCAGCCCAAGACGAGTCTCAAACATAGATCTCGATTAGTAGGCCCACCGTAAGGCTCTTGGGCCCATTGTGATATTAGTAATATGAGATTCGGCCTTAATTGATCTTTACTAGTTGTAAGTCTTGCCCGTTGGCCAGATGAATTAGTAAAGGCTAGAAATTGGTTTGGTTTTGCTTTTGGCGAACTAATATTCTGATGTGGTTTTCAAGTGTGTTTAGCAATGTTGTCAATCCGATAGTCGACGATTCTAATTGGATGAGGAAAATGGCTACACACACCTGTGAGGCGACATGCAGCAAGGTCCCCGCATTGGAGGTTACACGGCGTCATTTTTTCTTTTTGTTTACACATTGCACCTTTTCTCGGTTTTTTCATTCGCCTAACTCTATTTTTTTATTTTTAAGTTGAATAAAGGGATAACAAAAGAGGGGGAAAAACCGAATATTTCACTTAGTAACATTTTCCAATGTGAACTTATTAACTACCTCAACTCCGCGGACAATCCGATTTTTCCACCACGACGATAAGGGGCTAAAAGATCTACTACTTTTTTTTTTCTCTCCCACATTTTTTTGTATAAGTATTTCTCATTTATGATACGATGAAATTCTGAAGATTGACTTGATGTACAAAAGAATCCTTCCTCGAATTCACAAAACTAATACATGGGACTATAGGTTGGATCCAAATACAAATTATTATTTTGATGTAATGTAATATATTATTACCCATATGTTATATGAGATTTGATATAATTTATAAATAATATAATAATTTTTACTCATATATTCAGGCTAAAGCAATAAAACCAAAACCTCAGCCTACTTACTCGACTGGACAAACGTGCTATTGATAACATTGGTGTTTAGCTTGTTGGTTTAAAAGTGGGACATTTTCAGCTTTCCCACTGTCCATATGTTAAAGCTCTACTTTCCCCTTTATGATTCGTCGAATCAAACCATATATTAAATTACCTCATCTAATTTTTCCCTTTATTCGTTTCTTGGCGTCTCTAATTATTCATTGAGCGGGGAAGATTTTTTGTTCGATAGTGGCTCAGGGAGCAAAATTGCGAAACCAAGATCGTCGTAATGGAAAAATAGAAGCTTGCATGTGGGAGAAGGCTCAGCTTTCGGTTAACAATGGATAATTTGGCTTGGCAAGTATCGTTTTCCTAAGTTTTAAATATCAAAGTGGCCATTGAATTATGTTTTTGTCATGTCGGGCCTTAGAAGCCCGTAGAAACCCAGCCATGGTACATTTCTGTCGAAACACAAATGCAAAGCCAACCTTCTAAACTTTCTAACATAGCATAGACTAAAACATGTTCTGAATAGAGTTTAATATGCTTCAGATGGTCATTAGAAGAGTAAGAGAAGAGGTTATCGGTTGTTGATTAGAGACTGAGAGAAGAGATGGTCGTTAGTATTGAAATGTAGGACAAACAAAAGGAAAAACATTTTTGTATGGTGTAATTTTTGGGATGAAGGTCTCAAATGGTGGAAGTAGGAGAAGCAAAAAAGAGGAATCACAATGCATGTTCTTCTTGCCATAAATAATCTTGTATATTGTCTTGAAGTGTAACATATAAGGCTAAGTAACAAAGATGTGTACATAGATGATCGTACCATATACAAAAGGTAATCGTTTAATCTCTTCTCAATTAGTTCATAGATGATCGTACCATGCATAGTGTGTAAATCATTATGCTCGACCCCAATGGTGGGAGCATTGACAACATCTAGCTCTCGAGCTTCAGCTTCAGTATTTAACTTATGCTACTATTAATAGATTGAGAGCAGTTCCTTTTAGGTACATACAGTCATACAGTAGATTCCTGAAAATGCAGGGGAAGGAGTAGTAATATGATAAAAACTCAACAACACATAACAACTGAACATAATGTACATTATAAGTGAATCGAATGGGAGGGGTTTGTTATATCGGGTTTCTTTCTAGTTAAGTAGCAGGATTACATAGCTTCTTCGGTTAACATGAGTACAGATGCCATGTGTCATTGTAATTCTAACTGAAGGGCTATTCCAACAAAGTGAAGTAATTTCTTCATTTTGTCTACCTAATAGTTTCTTGGAATGTAGAGCAGAGAGGCTGCTGTAATAAAATAGTTTCTATTTGATTATGCAACCTTACTTTGTTTTGTTCGTCTAGTTAATCCTATGATGAACATAAGTGTCACCAGGTTTGATTCCATTGCTAGAGTGGGATTATCATATTCAACCACATGTTATTTTTTTCCTTAACACATATATAAGAAGGACCAGTACTATAATCCCAACGTTGTAAGCTGTGAGGATGGCAAATTCAAATAAACTTAAAGAGTCATTAGAGAACTGATAAATCTAGTATGACTTGGATTAGATGAACTTACCTTATTAGCAGCATCAGCGGTAAAATCCTTCCATGGTTGAATCTTAAGATGACCAATAATATCAGGACCTTTTTCTATAAGTTATAAAGTTACCATCCAGCAAACTTCATGGCAAAGTGGCTGACAATCTGCATGTGGGAAAGTATGAGGAAATTTTAAAACAATGTGAAGCACGACACATGAGAATTCAAGAAGTAAAGAGAAACCTACGCTTTCGATGCTTACACACATAGGGAAAGAGAGGCTTCAAGACAAGAAGAAAAATGGAAATTGTGAAATTGTGAATGAATATCGGACATTTATAAACGACAGGTACATCAAGTGTGTGGAAAAAACTACTGATTTGCTTACTGAACATACCATTTTGATCCTAATCCAAACCCTAAATTGCCAGTGGAAAACAGTTGCACTAAGATACAAAGTAGCTTCACAATGAGCAAAAACCAGTAACAGTAGATGTAAAGGTACATGTTACCACTCCGATATTCATTTCACCCAGGAGACGGACTGAAGCTTTACAGTGAGAGGCAAAAACAAACACAACGTAAGTCGTCTGGACTGTACAACAACATGAATTGAATTGGCAGCCAAGGAAAACACCGCAAGTCTGAGGGTGTTGCAGATGAGGCCAAAGAGTTAAGTTCCCGACTAAGAGCTGAATCAACAACTGGACGGGGAATACCCATTGCACCCTAGCTATAGAATGAGAAGAAATGACAATGCTTTTTAACAATATCAACTGTTTTAATAGAGGCGACCATTTCATTGGACTGTAATGTAAGAAACAAATGAGCTCCCATATGTAATCCCACAATCAATGGGCCAGCAAATTTGATAAGCACAATTGAAGATTACAACCAGGGAAGCATGCAGCAATATCAAAACCAAATTACCTAATAACTCTGAGATGCAATTTTGAGGGTTAGAATGAGTTTTAAATGGATTATACCTGAAGTCGACTTGCAATTCAATATACGGATTGGATTTGGCAACTGTAGATGAGGGGCAGAGGGAATATGTCTAATCTACACTCGGCAATAATCGATCATAGCTCTACCCTTTCATTGTGGGAATAAATGCGATGGCTGAAGGAGGGACTTCCAACTATCGATTGAGAACCAAAATGGATGGAGTGCAAAGCCAATAAAGAAGAGGCCCCTCCTCGAATTGTAAGGTTAATAGCCCTAAACATCGTGATCGCAGAAACCTGGGCCAATTTCACTCCGAAATCCCACCTGGTCAAGAGATTGGGGATATTTAAGCCCGGACGAGAAAGGGAATTGCAACCCAGCTTGAAAACCTCAACATAAAAAACAACATTAGGAAATCATAGATGACCGGTGCACAGGAAAAGCGTATCGCAGGTCAGGGAAGAAAGGACTTGAATTTCATTATGTGGGAAAGCAGATGAATTAATGGGAAGAAGATTACCTGGACAGGAAAGCGGTCGTCCTTGCCGCACAGAACCGCTCTTCAGATCGACTTCGCCGCTGCTGCAGGAAGGAGCTAGGGAAGAGAGGGCTTGATTTCATTCTGTGGAGAAAGCAGATCAATTAATGGTAAGAAGCTGACCTGGACAGGAAAGCTGTCGTCGTTGCCGCACGAAACCACTCTTCGGATCCACATCGTCGACACTGCGGGAAGTAGAAACGAAGACCTAGGGAAATATGGGAACGAAGGAGTAGGGGTGAAAAAATGAAAATGAGTCAACTGAATTTGGGAGCTGCGCATAATCTGTCCCGTAAGGGTCTCCGGCCGCGAAAAGTAAGTGGGGCAATTACCTAATTACCCTCACCGCAAATGAAGGAGAGAGCAGAGAATTTGAATCCAAGAAAAGTACACGAAAGTGTACAATATATTAATGGTAGATTTATTGACATCTTCACGCAACTGCCACATGTTTGATGCCTTTTAAACGACGGGATATCCGCTTGCCGCATCATCATCCACCCACGTGACTTAATGGTTTAACATTTAAAGCCGTTGGATCGATCTACCAGCTTGAGCCCCAAGTTTGAAGTAACGTGGAACGCAAACACGGAGCAAACTTCCTCAACTATAATTATTTATTTATTATTTTGTAGCCTCAAAATTCATGAATTACTCTTCGATTTTGGATAAAGCCCGATAATTTGGTGGGGTTCTTTTTCATATGATCGGCTGCCAAAAGACCAACCGAGTCACCAGCTGTTAACAGAGTTTCGATCAAACTCGCCAGCATCATCTTGTTCTTCAGCCTCCTCGTCTTCTCCGCTCCCTTGCTTCGGAATCGTTTCGTAAGGTATGCGCTTTCTTATCTCTAACTCTAAGTTGAGACTAGGGAGTTTGGGATTTCTTCAAAGTTCTGAATTTGCTGTGTTTCTGTCGAACGATTGATTTAATATCCGACGAATTAGTTCACTCAAATTTTAAAATTGTTCGCTCCTTTAGGATGAGTGAAGAAAGAGGAAGAAGAACATAATCCCTTGAATTGATTATTGGGTGTTCTTATTTATCAGTTAATTGAGATTCTGGCCTGGAATGGAATTGTCTGTAGAACTCAGAAGTAGAAAATTTTCAGGGTTTTGTTCGGCTGGAGGAAGTTTTGGCCTGGCTAATTACTTACTTTTGTTTTGATGGGGGTGCAGGAAGGGAAGAAGGGATGGCTAAGAGTTGCTTCAAGCAAGAGCATGACCATGGTATGCTTAAAGTTGAGGTTGTGGATTCATCTTTGTTTGTATTCGGATAAGGTGGGTGTTGACAATCAAGTTTTTTGTATTTGTTTGCAGAGAAGAGAAAAGCCGAAGCTGCCAGGATCAGGGAGAAATACCCAGATAGAATTCCGGTGAGAATTCTTGGGTGCTGTTATCATGAATGATACTGTGGCTTTAAATGTGTCTTCTGTTGTTAGACTTATTTTCACTTTACTGTAGTGTTCTGCGTTTGTGGTTCGTTAACCCTTTATGGGGAAAGAACTTCATGCTGTTTAGTTTCTGCTTATTCTCGTGATATTGGGGGTGACAAATTCATTTCCGCCATAATGTACATTGTTTGCCAGATTATATGAGACTTGCTCTTGGATATGCTAGATTAGTTCAAACATCAAGCTTGCTCTAAAGTGCATGAATCAAATATGAAATGTCCTCTTTTCTAGTGGTCGCTGACTTCCTTTTTTCCACTGTTCTTCTTTTGTCTTGAAGGTCATTGTGGAGAAGGCAGAGAGAAGCGAAATACCAAATATAGATAAGAAAAAGTACGGTTTCCCTCTGATGATGCTCTTCTTGTTGTTTTGATCTCCCGCTTCTTATTCTTGCTGCTGGATTCATGCTTTCGCATTGTTAGAAATCTCCTTAGCTTCTACAAGAGCGCCTGTTCAGTATACTAAATGATGCTGTCTGCATTAGCAGGTACCTTGTCCCAGCTGACTTGACTGTTGGACAGTTTGTTTATGTTATCCGAAAGAGGATCAAGCTGAGTGCTGAGAAGGCGATCTTTATATTCGTCGACAATGTCCTGCCACCAACTGGTTAGCACTTACTACTGCACATTTCTCTATCAATATTATGCAGTTCTGATTCTTTTCTTCCCCTCATTAGCTTTATCGTGTCTTTGTGGCCTTTATCCAACATAGGTGCCATCATGTCTGCTATATATGAAGAGAAGAAGGATGAAGATGGGTTTCTGTATGTCACTTACAGCGGTGAGAACACGTTTGGGACGGAGATTCAGCAGTAGAGCCAAGCCAAATTGTTGCAGAGCTCCATAAGTTTCCCTGTTTATCTGTCTCAGTTGCTTGTTTAGGTTTGGGGATGATGTTCATTTAATATATGAACACAGCTCGGTTGTGGAGACACTTGTGCATAGGGTATATATCTCTCTCTCTCATGTATAGACACTTTCAAGAACTTCTCTTCTCTTTCTCTAATTCAGTATTTATGTCGAAAACATGACTTGGCCTCTCCCTGGTGTTTGGCATAATGATTATCAAGATAGAACTGAATAACTTTCTGCGTTTGTTTTAGTTACTTGAAAAGAAAGAAGAAACACTATTATTCCTTGTGTGCTGTTGAGTTTTCTTCCTAAACGTCTTATCTTAAGTTGAACTCAGTTGCGGGCAGCTAATGGAGGCTAATACGGGCTGGCCCAGCCTGGTCCCAGACTTTGGATCCCAGGATTGGCCTGCCTCCTGATCGCTTGGGCATATTCTCATTCTCCAAAAATCAACATTCACCAACAGCATCTAAGGTCTTGATTCTTAACGCAATCATTTTAGCTTGGTGGGGACTGGAGAAGAACCAGCTTAAGTAGGGTTATTTACGTATATGTTAGTAGTTGGAAAGTGATAATAATCTTTTTTACTTGTCGTAACACATTAATATTTTACATGATATCACCACAACCATGGTAGATTGAGTGATTGACTATGTTTCAAGGAAAGATATCAGTATGTTATATCCTTATTCCTAGAACGCTACAGCCTACAATATATGAAATATGGAAAAATCCATGACATGGGGTTGTGGGTGACGAGATCGTAGTTGCGTGCTTTATTATAATGGTCGACTTTTTCATATCAAATCTAAAATAAAAAGGACAAAATTGCATTTCAAAGTCACGGATAATTGAGTCCTACCTCTAATCATATGACTCTCATCTTTCCAAAAGGAAAAGTGGAATTTATCATATGACTTATATTTCCAAAATGAAAAAAGTGGAATTCTCTCTAGTCAATATTTAAGTCTCCAAAAAAAATGGGAAAACCTCTCGTATCATCATAGGGTGAAATTTAGGACTCCTTTTAAATTATGAGGTTTTTGGAAAAAAAAACTTGGGATTTGTGATGGATTTATTGTATTATGAATTTGAAAAATTTATTGTGTCCATGATAGGTTTCATAATTTCCTCCGGTTAAATTGGCCCGAATGATTCGGTTTCAGTCCGGTCTTTTCGGGAATATAAGGACCAAATATTGGATTGGATACGGTCCGGTCTTGATCCGGTCCGGTCCTAATTCGGTCTTGATTTTAGATTAAGTTTGTGGGGATTTGAGTTGTCTGAGGACTCAAAGGGTGGGTAGTTGGTTAAGTTTTGGGTGTTCTACTATCTTATCCGGTCTTTATCCGGTTTTCGATCCGGTACCAAACGGTTTTTTACCTCAAATCTAAGCCCGAAGATTGGATTGTATTGTTTGCTATCCGGTTTCGGTCCCGGTTCGAGTTATAAGGTCCGGTTTCGGATAAAACCAAATAGCCCGCCCTACCTCCCATCCTCCAATAATATATAGTAGAGTTTTGTGAACTTTTCTCCATTTCAAATTTCCTGCAACGAGAGTGAAAATAAGAAGGACATTTTTGTCTTTACAATCAATTATTTATTTCATTTAAAAAATATCAATATCAAGACTCGAACCCAAGTATCTTCAAACAAAGATAGCAATCATAACCAATTATACTAAATATATTTGTTGTTCCTTTTTTAATGCAAAACATACATGTATTTAAACTGTGAAAAGCATATGACTTTTCCATCATGATTAACAAGCGCACTAAGTCTATTGTATGTATTTTCATGGTGCTTAATACTTCAATTTTCATAGTAGAGTTTCATGTAATCTTATTAATTTTAAAATTCATGCTCTCTCCTTAATTTTCACCAAAGGTAAATTGGTAATTGGCTAACATGGAAGAAACTATTTCATTTCCTACGCGTTGTGTCCTTGCATTTTCAATATAAATATAAATTTTTTGTTTTTTTTATCTTTGTTCTTATCTCTTTCTAATTTTCTTTAAAATTCCCTCCATCGTGCAATAGTTTGCGTGCTTTCACTTCCCAGTATAAGGGCACATTTGAAAATCAATATTCTGGTATCTCTTGGCACCGCCGTTTTATTCTTTGGGATTTAAGTTGGGCAAGTAGAATATTTCAACTCTCATATCAATCCATGGCAAATAGAATGGAGTTCAATCAAGTAGTTATGGTCTGCCTTAATTATCTCGCTCGATTCCTCTGCACTGCCATCACCCAATTGTTCTGTTTGTCCCCGCTGTACTACCAGAAGAACTATTTTGCTGCTTTTATTGCTGAAGACAATGTTTGATCAGTTATATCTTTCGCATTTACTCCTCTTCCTATACCAGGCATTGACCTTTAATAGGTTTTCGGTTTTCGACCAAGGTTAATCGCTTTGCACATGTAAGTCATTCATTTCAACAAACAATAAATTTGAGTTAAATCCATCAAATTTCAAATTTGAGATACCAAATTCATTACCCAAATCTAGCTAGCAAACAACCCATTAAAAACGAAATGCGATTAGGATGATCCATCAAACAAAAGGTACTATTCGATTTAAAGTCTTAGTTTTCTTGTTCTTGTTTCTTAAACATCCCAACAAGACATGAGCCATAACGTACGCAAGTGATCTCTTGCCCTCTGGGCTCTGTCTGCCTAATCATTATAGTAGATATCCCTTCCCTGGGTCGAAGAGTGCAATATGGCTATTTGCCAATTTGGCGTTGCTATGGCTAGGGGTGGGCATTGGGTGGGTCGGGTGGATTTTGACCATAAAATACACCCACCCGCGCTTAAACGGATTGATAATTTTTAACCCACCACCCACCCACATTTAGTCTCGGGTTGGGTCGGGCGGATGGTGGATGATGCGGGTGGGTTTGTGGGTTCACCCACATCACAATGCATATAATATAAAGGAGTCAACTTGACATGATAATAGGTGAAGAGAATCATCGAGGGAAACCAGAAGTTGAAATAGGGCGAAAAATGTCGAATTAGTTATTAAATTGGACAAAAATTCTATTATGAAAGAGTTTTCTACAGATTCAGACGATTATTAGGTGCAAGGAACTAAGGAAAATAATTCCACAAAGGAAAGAGCGGTGATCTAGGCACAAGAATTAGAGGAAAAAGTAAAGGGAAAAAGAGGGGATCTCTATTTGGAAGGTAGGCTTTGAGGTTCAAACTCCAGGAGCAGTCCGAGTTTATATCTAACGTCTCCACTCTCCTCTCTCTAGCGCCAACGACTTTGATTTTTTTGCTGTTGGGTTGAGCGGGTCACCCGCACACTCACCCACAACCCACCCACCACCCGACGGATGGCTCCCAGCGCAACCCGTCACCCACCCACAGACCCACCCACTTAACGAAATTCGGGTCAAATGCGGGTGGGTCGGCCCAAACCCGCGGATGATCCGCCCGCATGCCCAGCCTAGCTATGGCGGCAGGGTGAGCATGAAAGCCACATGGGGTTGACATGCAATGGGCCCAAAGAAGAGAGTAGTGCAGGGGGCAAGCGAGGGTTCGAGCCCATGCAGCTTTGTCGCCGGTCTGGTCTGGTCCGGTCAGTCCCCACCGTCCCACTTTCTCATCAAACTTAGGCCCATATTCCCCTACTAGCCTAGCTACTGCCCTCTCTCTCTCTCTCTGACATTTTGTAGGATTTTCTTTTGGCATCATCTTCATCAATAACCTTTCCTTCCTGCATAATAAATTAATCCAAAAATTTCCCTATATATGTTCCACTAATTAAGGACTGACGATGTGGCATAATTTATGGAGTGAGTGTGGCGTCGGCCCTTTCACTTTGCAGTTTGCAGCTTAAATATGCAAGATGCAAGCACATGATTTTAGGGGTACGTAATTGTTATGTAGTGGACACTACACATGAGTCTAATCTTGTCTCCAAACCCTAACAATAATCCAGTGGAGATAACTATTAATGGACGTTGAGTGTGAGTGTGACTCAATGACTATTTTTTTTTTGGTAATGATATATTGTAAGAGTATTGATTTTGGAGATGGAGATTTCGAATCTAATCATCACATTATACTCATATGCGAAGAATACTAACGGTAATAAACCAGTTAGTCCCAATAACTCGAGTTGTATTTAACCATTTTCTTACACACCCCTCAAACGAAAGCCGACTCATGGGCTTGAAGTTTGCACAGGCTCGTTATACCATATGCTTGAAAGACAACGGTTAATATTGAGGGTCGTGAGAACTTGAACACGTGACCTCACGGACAAACCAGGCTATGATACCATGTCATAAACCAGTTAGTCCCAATAACTCGAGTTATTGGAAAAAAGATTATGTTGGATCTTATACAGGCCCATATATAATATATTTTAACCACTTCCTTACACTAACTATGAAGAATATTGATACTAATAAAACATGTGTACATATTTACTACAACGTTCGATAATGGATTGTGATATCAACAATAACTGCCAACCCAAGTTAAAGATGATGATTCACTGCCCTTTGTCTACTTCCTACATCGAGTAGATTTCAGGATTTCATCCTTAATTAACCTTTTTCTCTTTTCTCGATCCTGTGTTCTTTCAGGTCATTATTCATTGAATGTCAATGTGGCATGTTCCTGGATGCAATTGATATATATGTGTGCTATGTATCTTCTATATATAATTGGTCGGCAAACGATATGTTTAATAGTTTATTAATATATTTGAATGTGTTATTGCCGAAAAACTGATTTGATACATGCCAAGAATTTTGTATTATTTGTAGGTGGTTAGGTAGTTGTATGGAAGGGTTAGCTCATCGAGCCCTAGAAAGCAGGAAAGGGTAAGTGGTTACATCGATCCTCATTTTCCTAAACAAGAAAATGGTGACAATTGTTGGCCCAGAATCACAATGTCACCATACGACTAGCATTATGGCAATAAACAAGACAAGAATCACGAACTTGTATTATCGATGTGGTACTAATATTGTCTCATAATGATCCTCCCCTCAAGACAAGGACCACAGACTTCGTGTCCTTTCCTCAGTAATTATCTAGATCCATCAAACATACGCAGATTTCAAATCCTGAGGTCACCGAATGAGGGTCCCCACCAAACAGACGTCCACTGCCCCGAACTGAACTGGACTATGATACCACTTGTTGAAACCGGATAGCTTCATTCATACAATATTGTCCGCTTTAGGCCATTCCCGCACAGTTTTACTTTTGGGTATCCTCCCCAAAAGGCTTCGTACTAATGATCTTGGTAGACACTAACATACAAGGCTCATTCTCTTGTATTACTGATGTTGTACTTGGATTGTCCCGTAGCACTTCTTGTTTTTCGTTTGATATATGAACATCATAAGATATATAATCTCACAAATTTATAAATTATCAACAAACCAAACGATAAGTTATTAATCGATTTGCTCATAAGCTGCTAGGTGAGGTGGCTAGTTAGTCTTACTATTCGAGTGACGAACCAACTCATAGCCCAAAACGAGCTAGCTCACGAGTAGCCACCGAGTCGAGTTGGGTCACGAGTCTTGCGAGCTGAACATGACTTCTTATTTCAAGCTCGGTTAGTAAACGAGGTGAGCATCGAAAAGTGTTTTTCCCCTTAGTCACTCATCATGAGCAGTTTGACTCATTTGCAACCCGAAAATATACGGTGCTTATTAGCTCATTCGGTTGCTAATATTTTCTTTTTTTGTGGTGATGTCCAAATCATCATTCCGAAAATTCGAACCGGGAACTCTACCCATATCTCGGGTGGTGCCTTAATTCCTAAAGGAAGTTACCCTCCATTCGGAATGTCCATCTCTAGAAAAGAGAAGAAGAAGAAGAAGAAACCAAAGCCCGATCTACAACGGTTTCTGTTTCGAGAGCGGCCATCGAACTCAACAAAAGAGAAAATAACGAACAAGTGGCGTTGGGGGCCGGAGACAAAGGGGAGGCCCGCCAAATATCTAGAATCTTGTTTTCTTTCTAGGGCTCTGTCTTACCCCCAAACATCTGCATGTTCTCTCCTTAAAGAGTAGCGCCTCCGATCCCTCTGCAATAAATGATTTTTCGTTTTTCTTTTCCAGTTATTTCTTTCTCTCTCTCTGCTGAACTTCCCATGCAATAAATAGCTTCGATCCTCTTCTCTCGACTCGATCCACAGGTAACCCTAGCAGCAACCAAAACACTGTCCCATTTGGCTAAAGATTTACTTTTGGTCTTCTCGATCACATATACAATACAAAATGTCCCAGGTGGTTCTCCTCTGCCTTCTGGCCGTCGTCTCCCTTTCGATGCATGCATGCGACGCTCGGTACCGGCTGAGTCTCATTGACAGTACTGATCAAGCAGAAAGCTCACCCAACAAGTATCCTCCCAAGGTATGCTGTATGCATGCAGTTAATATTAATAATTAACCACACGCGATCGATTTCACTTTGTAAAACGTGGGTCCAAAATTCACTGGATGCAGCTGCGATTAAATATGTTGATATTTGCTGGTGCAGGAAGGTGTAAGCCTCCAAAATGGTGCAATCAATACCGCCGTCAAGCACAATAACCCTTTCACACCCATTCTCACCAAGGAAATTACCGCGGGTAAATTTGTGTGTGCAACATGATTAGATGCCAATAAACTGTGGTTTATATATATGCATACGTAGTGACAATGTTAATGGGACATGCAGCTGGTCCACTAATTGCTCGTCCTAGGGATGGTTTGCAGCAGCAGCAGCAGCAGGAAGATCAGAATAATAACGACCTACTAGTGGTAAGCTAAGCACTGAGTACTGCTGCCCATTAAAATACCTTTTTGAGCTTGTGTTTGCTTGGCTAAGAGGTTCGATCGTGTGCAATGGTTACTTTCATTATGTAGAAAGGTGGGTCTGTAGTCTGTTGGTATAATATTATGTATTATATCTTCAACATTGAACTTTATGCATTATATAACTAGCTGATAATAATAATATGAAGCCTTATGATCAACATTCATATAATTGCTAATGGCTTTGATGCACGTCATGATGATTCATGAGCTTAATAATTAATCCATCGGGATCTTAGAATGTTAGATTGATTCACTCGAATTATTGGGGGAGATTTGAGCACGCATTATCGCGTAGAATTAATCTCTCTGAATATGTGATTGATGATTGATGTTGTACACAGGGAATGAGGAAGAGGATGGGGAGAGTGCTAATGGTGGAGAAGGAAGACAGCAACAACAGCAATAATAGTAATGGTGGAGATGATCAGTCAAAAGAGGCTAATTATACTGATGATGATGCTGAGGCAGCAGATCAGGAGAGCAGTGGAGTTGTTGTGATGGACTATGCGCAGCCACATCGAAAGCCACCAATCCACAATGAAAAATCATCAAAAAAGATTACATAAATTATTAAGTTCCCATATATTTCCCTAATTAAACAATCCAAGGGCTGTGATTACGTATACATGTAATCCTCTGCTGCTGTATAACTTTGTTTTTATTTCCTTTCTACACATATATGATTGATTGAGTGTTGCCTATATAGCTAGCTTATAGAAATTGCTGGCTAGCTGCATATCTCAAATTTGTAACATGTTAATTGCCAAGACGAGTTTTGTTGTTTCATGAATATTTCCTAAAGTTGTTTTCTTGACCAACAAAGTTGTGGTATGGGTGTTTAATAAGGTATATTACACTCACACAAGACTTCAGCATTCCACCAAAGATTCCTTTTGAGGTATAAATCCACTAATCCACTCTAAAAAAATGTTATTTTATATCGTGGATTGATATATATGTACGTTTTGAAGTTGATGATTAGGCGTTAGCAATGTTGAAAATGAACTAATCACACTAGGGAAATTTTTTGAGATCTCCAGGTTTAAAAAAAAAATCAACTATAGAACCGCTAGATAAAGTTCTTGTTCCTAGCACATATGTAAATATTAATTAGACATTCTTGACATTAAGTAGTATTATTTTATAGGGGTGGCTATACGATCTGGTCCGATCTTTTCGGGAATATAAGGACCAAAATTTGGATTGGATATAGTCCGGACTTGATTCAGTTCGGTCTTGACCCGATTCAGTCCCAATTCGGTCTTGATTTTAGATTGAACTTGTGGAAATTTGAGTGGCCTGAGACCTCAAAGGGTGAGGAGTTGTTAAGTTTTGGGTGTTGGACTCTCTTATCCGGTCTTTATCCGATTTTCGATATGATCCCAAACGATTTTTTACCTCAAATCTAAGCCCAAAAATAGAATTGGATTGTTTGCTATCCGATTCTGGTCACAATTATACAGTCCGGTTTCAGGTAAACCCAAAAATTCGGGACCAAATAGCCAGCCGACAGCCGTATCATTGTATATTGCCAGCGAACAAAAATATAGTTTATTGATACTATCGCATGTCATCAACCTGGAGGATCCCAAATTTGAATGTCTTAAATAGCACCTTACGATAAAACAAACAAATCTAACAAATCTTGTTCGCCCTTACTTATATGACCAAGTGAATGGTTGTAGCTAGGTTCTAAATAATAATTAAGCAATGCTACAAACCTACCACAAAAGAGAATGGCAAATGATACGGTGGTTGGGGAAGTTAATGGCTCAACACATGATGTTTAATGGTACCATACAGACAAACTTGACATGGGTCTACCGCCATGGCTGACCATCATGTTTCTTTGTCCAACTCCCTACAGCACCAAGTTGTGAAGAATCAGTTCCTCCATTCCCTTCTGTATCCAATTAGGCACAAGACAAGAAAGGGCCTCTTACGTACCTTTCTTATCATCAGCAGATCATCGAACAGAAATATTAGATAAATGCTGTGAATACAGACACTTTTTTGTACTGCTCAAACTCATGACCTGTTATAGGAAGCATCGACAAAGGCAGAAACTTCTGTATTTGTGAAGCCAACCAGACATGTATAACGGAAAAGATGTAGCCTTACAGATGCACCAACTTCATTTCCTGGACTGAGAAATCATTTGGGGAACACCACCCTTCCATTTTCTCATCAGGAACCTTTCGTCTTGTACTGCTGCAGGGGATAGTCATGTGCTACTACTGCAGCTGAATACGAATGGCTTAACGAAATTGGTGAATTGGGGGGTCCGTATTCCAAGCTTCAGATCGACTTCACCACCGCCCAACCAGAAGTAATCCGGGTGCAGTTTCACAATTGCTTCGTCCAAAATCACCTGATGAGATCAAACACCATGATTGGAAACAGTTAATGGTACTCGTTCAGAAAACGAGGGAAGAAACGAGAAGTGTTGCAGCTTCGACATGCCAACCTCAAACATCAGATCAAAATTCAGACATCAAAAGTTCAACATATCTAACTTTTTGTCTATTCTGAGATCACATGTTTATAAAAACAGATAAACACATACTGACTATCAACATCCATTCATTGGTAGCCTGCTGTCCGAATTACCTCTGTCCATCTATGTTTAAGCAAACAACTCAACTTTCAATGTCAATGCTATGTTTCCTCAAATGGCAGACTGGCAGCAAATCATCGAAGTAGCAATCAAAGGTAGTGTAATGAATGGTGGACCTCTTGATTAAAAACCCAATTTCGACAGACATGATATTTGGACAGTGGAGCACTAATAGCTGGCATGCTACTTCCTCTATCATTTCTCAGAGAGAAAAAAGTTCATTACTGCTGCACTCTGACTCTCTCTCCAGCAACATTTGTTATTCAACAACCCACAGAGACCATGAGTAAGACACTATTGTTATAGACACTCGACAACAAGACCCAAAGGGTCAACAAGGTTATGCTATTCCAGATCCGAGCAAAATCCAGGACTTTCAAGCTGGAGTGTCCCTAAAACATGTTACAAGTGCATGTGTAGTGCAAGAGGCCTTGGACCGACGATTTTAAGGAGAGCTCTGGTACACAATTCCGGCTACTGAATCTTTTTACTTCTTGGTTACATGGATTACTGATGCACACTTATGATTATTTTTCCCATAGATACTGAAGCAAGCTAGACGTACGTCCTCACATTGACAAACAATATGACAGGAAAGTGTACCACCAAAGGAGGAATTTGATGAAATAGGGGGGTGTAACTTGTAAGAACTCAGTGTTTCAACAGCATGTTTAGACACTTGAAGACAATTGTTCATAGAAAACTTACTGGTATGTCGGTTTTCATGCCGACGCATGTAACTGCATTGTGCTCAAACCCGGTCAGCTGGAAAGACGTCTCTTCCGGTGCAAGCCTCACTGCATGCATGATTCAAAGAACATCAATTGCATCATTATGCAGAATAATTCAAAGGAAGAGACAACAACATGAACTCTGATTTGTAGTATAAACTAATTCAGAGCTTACTGTTGAATTTCTTCTTTGCTACCTTGCCTTCGTTGAGTGCGTACAGATAGTTCTTAACAGATTCAGCATTGAATTTAGCTGTATACTGCAAATAAGAATACATCTCAATGAGCTCAGACAGTTCCAGTTATAGAGTAGTGGCTGGCTAAGTTAGGCGCTCAAGCAAGCAAGCATGGTATACCTGAACTACAACAACGTAATACTTGGAGTTATTGCGGTCGCTGCAATCAATTACATTCGATGTCGCCTGCGTATTAACCTGAAGAAAAAACTCAATTGAAGTCAATTCCCCCAATCTGGCGACCTAACTCGTCGAATTTCCATCAATAGGAAACGGAAGAATTGCGTACCAGGACGATGCTTTTGCAGAGGTGATGAATGGAGGCAGCGCCGAGGACGTCCCGGCGCGACTCGAACGGCCAATCGTAGTAATCGGATGGGACTCGCTTGAAAGCGAAGTCAGTAACGCCGTTGGAACGGAGAATGGAGGAGAGGCGCTCCTCCGTCGCGCCGCCGGCGTTAGTCTCCCGGCAGCAATTTGACGCCGGCGGGTGAAGTTGGGTTAGTTCGTCTTCGTGGAGGTAGTTGGGGAGGTGGAGGGCGAGCTCGAGTTTGGCTATCCGCTGGAGGATCCGGTTTTGGACCCGCTCCAGCTCCGCCATTTCTGCTTCCAATTTGGATTCCATCGCGTGAATCTTCCGCCTCCCCGGCCGGCTCTCTTCCTATCTCGTCGCTCTCCCGGGTAAAAAAAAGGCCGGCGTTCTGACTTTGGTGGTGGAGGGCAAGTGGGCAACGAAGGGATCGAGCGGGTGTTCTCGGGCGAGTGACGGACTTTGGGCTGGGATCCAGGTTTAGGCCCAACTAGAAATTATGAGCCCCTCTTTTGAGCTTGCGCCGGAGTTTGGACCTGTAAGTTGGGGTTGAGCTAAAAGCCTAAAACAAAAGGGTTCAACATTTTTGTACATGTTATTTTTTTAATCTACAAGACAGACTAAAATTAGACAAACTGCATGTAACATTTTAAATAAATCTCATAACAAGAAAACATGAAAAAAGTTCATACGCTGTAAGATTTAATTCAACATTAAATTTGTGTTGCATTTAATAATATTTGAAAATTAAAAAATCATATTAATTATATTCTTTTTTTAACTACCATTGCATTTATACAATTATCATTACACTTGTACATTGAACTCATATCAATTACATTCATTTTTTTAACTATCATTGTATTGATATAATTACCATTGCACTTGTACACAGATGTCACTACCATTGCAATGAAAAAAGGAAAGTAATTAATATAGATTTTTAATTCAGACAGATTATTGAATACAACACAAATTAATTATCTTAAAATCCTATAATTAATATGAGGTGTCATTTTTCCAACTCTTGTAGAGATAGTCATATTGTCTCACCCCAAACTTCATAAAACTAGATTAAAAACAGATTGAAATCGCATAAATTTTTTGAGGTGTTACACTTTGGTTTTTTTCTGTAGCTACAAATATTCGATACATAAGTAAAATAGGATCTAGGAGTAGTAACAAATACATACAAGTTGGATCTGGAGATGTGAATGGGATGCACATGCGGTGAAGGTAATGATAAAATCATAAAACAGGGGTCGACCGAGTCCGACTGGTTTTCACAGGCACAGCACCTGGTATTCTCTAATTAGTTGTTGGCAGCAGGAGACTTGTGTTGTGGGATGAAAGGACAAATCAAACAACGTGTCGCTTGAATATGGACATGCAAAATGACTTTGGAGGTGGAACTCCTCCTTCCTGTCAAAGTTTCAATGATGCTCTTTAGGCGTCTTAACGGGAAAATTGCATTGCTTGCCTCGGAAAATAAAATTTTAGAGAGAACCTTCCACCATAGGAAGGAACTTGACCAAAAAACTTTTGCAAGAGTTAAATAGGCACGATGTAATTAGCAGGTAAACAAAACGACGGGATTATCAGATGCCGAAAGCTAAAACGACAGGATTCTCTCTGGTCAGTCAGTCACAGGCCTGGCGGGAGCTATTAAAATATTGTACTTGGAGCGCGCGGCAAGCCACTAGTCCACGTGATTCGCTCGTGCGCTAGATTGTAAATTTTGCGCGACATGCCTCTGCCAATCTGCATTGTCGCTCGCTTTTTCTTTCTCACGATCCCGATCGGATCCGCTCTTGACGCGTGGCATCTGCTGTAGCATCAACGGCCCCAGTGAGCCTCCCATACTTGTTCGGCGGTAAAAAGTCTTCAAGTTAGTCCTTCTCTTCCAGACCATTTTGACCATTCCAACAAATCACACAGAAAGAAAACTCTGCTTCTTCTTCCCCCAAATTCCTCCGTCCCCCGCCATTGCTATAAATCCCCGCGGCTCTCTTCTCTTCAATCCTATCCAACAATCAAAATCAAAACTCTGATCTCTCTCTCTCTACCAATTTCCATCTCAATCAGTTTCCTCCAGCCAAAATGCACAAAGTGACTTCAACTTCGTCGCTGGGTCCGGGCGGCCTGGACCTAACCCAGTCCTTCTTCAAGCCGATCCAGAACACGGCCCCTCCGTCCCCCACAAAGCGGCACACCAAGATCTCCGTCATCGGCGTCGGCAACGTCGGAATGGCCATCGCGCAGACAATCCTCACCCAGGACCTAGCCGACGAGCTCGCCCTCGTCGACGCCGTAAAAGACAAGCTCCGCGGCGAGATGCTCGACCTCCAGCACGCCGCTGCTTTCCTCCCGCGCACCCAGATCCTCTCCTCGACCGATTACTCCGTCACCGCCGGATCTGACCTCTGCATCGTCACCGCCGGCGCCCGCCAGAACCCGGGAGAATCCAGGCTCAATCTTCTTCAGCGGAACGTCGGCCTCTTTAAGAAGATCATCCCTCCATTGGCCCAGCTTTCCCCCGACGCCATTCTCTTGATCGTTTCCAATCCGGTCGATGTGCTCACTTATGTAGCGTGGAAGCTCTCCGGGTTCCCCTCGAATCGGGTCATCGGGTCGGGCACTAACTTGGACAGTTCCCGGTTCAGGTTCTTGATCGCTGACCATCTCGATGTCAATGCCCAGGACGTCCAGGTAAAACCAACAGTTCATTTGATTGAGGTCCATGGACTCTGTAGTTACCATTTGGTCTCAATTGGATTTGCAAGAACATACATTGTTTATATTGGGTCGTCATAAGAATTCGAAATCACAACCTCCCAATTGAAAGATCTGATACCAATTAACGAACAAACCACCTAGTCCCAGTAACTCGTGGAATTGAAAACTCCAAACCCTTTTCACTTGCAGGCGTACATAGTGGGGGAGCATGGCGACAGTTCAGTGGCGCTGTGGTCGAGCATAAGCGTGGGCGGGGTGCCGATCCTGAGCTTCCTGGAGAAGCAGCAGATCTCGTGCGAGAAGGAGACGCTGGAGAGGATCCACAAGGAGGTGGTAGGTTCCGCGTACGAGGTGATCAGTTTGAAGGGTTACACGTCGTGGGCGATCGGGTACTCGGTGGCGAATCTGGCGTTTTCGATCCTGCGAAACCAGAGGAAGATCCACCCGGTCACCGTAATGGCCAATGGGTTTCACGGCATCGAAGCCGCTGGCGGCGGTGGCGAAGGAGGGGAGGTGTTCTTGAGCCTGCCGGCTCTGCTGGGGAGAGGCGGCGCCTTGGCGGTGACGAATGTGCACATGACGGAGGAGGAGGCGCAGCGGCTCAGGGACTCGGCCAAGACTCTGCTCGAGTTGCAGAGGCAGTTGGAACTTGGAGGTTTAAGATGAGAGTAGTAACTAGCAACTTGTAAGTCATTTGGGAGATTCATGTGTACATATAACGAAACGAGTTGTTGCGTAGTTTGCAAGTGTTTCTGTCTCCCATGTCATCCGTAGTTGGCTTTGGTATTCCACGTAGTTGAGAATGCTTTGATCGGGCGGGGGAGTTTTTCTTTACAAGAATTCAGTGAAGAAGAGAGTGCTTCTATGCTCTCTTTGATATGCTAATGGGGGTTACTCTGTTTTGTTGTTAACGATAGAGAAATCAAAAGTGGACTGAAACACATTTAAAAAAAAAAATTGTACTGTTTATAACCTGTGAAAAGAGTTGTCATGGGGCCAAATTAGTCACAAGATGAACTCTCATATTTACGTTGATCTAAATATATGTGAAAAGAGGGTTCAAGGAGCCTCCGTCTATGAAGTTTCGATTGATCACCAGCTCTTATTCTTATTCTAAGATCACCTCATGTTGTAAGTACCCTTTCGTCCAGCCAACACCACCCGCCGCTTCCTTCGATTCCCATCTCGGCTTACCATCCATACAAAAACTGTTTGTTGTTGGTCGATTCTTTCATCCTTCTAGGCCACCAAATCTTCACTTTCTGATTCCCCAACCTACCCACTCATTGCGCCTTTAACTCCAAGCACCACTCACATGCACCGCAAAACCCCTCCTCATTGTCTTCATCTCCTGCTCCTCCTGGATTTGGATAGTTTTCCTTCGACAATATAGGAAGGAAAGTGAAATAGGATAAAAATGAAAAGTATTGTCGATGATAGAATTAGATCAATTTTAATAGAGATATTTGTGAAATTGGAACAAATGTCAACATTACAATCCTTTTGAGCTTTGGACTCTACCGTTTTATGAGTATCAATAATCAAATATCTCATTTACCACTGACACATTTGAGCTAAAATGTGTTATTTTCAAACACCCGTTGGGCGGTTGATGGAACATCATGTAGCTTTGGGCTCAAAGTTTAACCCAGCGTCCCAGCCCATGATTTGAGTTAGTTTCTCACTTCTCATTGCAAACGACATCGTTTGACCTTTGCCGTTACGAACCCAGATCCATTCCATCAAGTCATCAAATCACTGAATCAGAGCAAAAGCAAGAAAGAACTAGGCAGATTGACGGAAACACTCTAGGGGAAGAAATATGGCAGGAAGACTGAGCAACTTTGCTTCACGGATCATGGGAGGGAACGGCGTCGTGATGCGGTCTGCCGCCGCCTCCCTCCGCGGCCGCGCCGGGATGGGACTCCCCGTCGGCAGACACATCGTCCCCGATAAACCAGTCAGTAACCCCTCCCCTACATCTCTCTCTCCATTTCTTCGCGATTCCTTGAATCCCTAAATCCGATTGATTGTGCCTTCCATTGTTGTTTGCGATTCCAGCTGGCGGTAAATGACGAATTGGTTTGGGACAACGGTACCAACCTTCCAGAGCCTTGTATCGATCGAATTGCTGATACTGTTGGAAAGGTAAACGCTTTCCTTTCGTTTCGTGTCTTCTCTATTTGTTTTTTTGCTTCATTCTGTTGCTTCCTTCTGAACCCCTTTGGTGTCTGGTTTCAATTTTGGGGTTGTTGATGTCAGTACGAAGCTTTGGCTTGGTTGTGTGGAGGTTTGAGCTTCTTTGCGTCATTGGGGTTAATGGCTGTGTGGAATGACAAAGCATCTAAGATACCCTTTGTAAGTCGTGATTTACTTTCCTTGACTCTGAACATTTCGCCTTAGCAATTGGCAGCATCATCAAGAATTTTGAATTTGTTGGAAATCAGTAGCGTGAGTGTAAACTTACTTTGTGCAGATTGAACTTGAATCCACTGTTTTTGACTAGTTGGGGTGGTGAAATGCTCCCGTTGTTGACTGGTTTTGTTTTGTTTTGATTTGGAAAGGATTGTATGATTGAACTTACAAAAGAGCGAAGATTTAGGCCAAACACCTGGTTGTGTAGTTTCTTTTGCTTGATACAAGGAAATGGGTTACGTTGTTTATCCTTTGCATTGGTATGCACTATTTCCATCTGACTAGTGCAGTAGGAACTAGGAAGTATTAGAAAGCCACACACGCATATAGTGATATGCAGTATCACTTGTTTTTCTTTTATGGTGCATGTAATGTGAAGGATTAGTATAGTTGTTACAATGGTGATATGCAGTATCACTTGTTTTTCTTTTATGGTTCAGACAGGCTACTGAATTGCGAATTTGAGCTTTGAGGTTTATTCAATTGTGAAAGATCAGAGTCTACTATATGATGTGGAGGTCATTAGGGAATGTGAGATCACAAATAGAAGTGAATCATCATAGCTGATTAGACCAATCAGTGATCATAAATGTTGTGATCTAACAGCAACCAAGTTATAATGGCATGTCTCGTTCAGGAGACTTTTGTTTCGTAGAAGCATAATGTGTGTTTGTTGAGGCTCTCTGTGGAGGCATCTATGCTTGTTTGTCAATTAAGTTTGGCTCGATCCAAAATTAATATCACCTTTTGCATGTACTGCTCAGTACAAGGCCTTAAGAGTTTCATGATAAGAATAGCAATGCTATCCAGTGTGATCTTGGCATATAACAAGGTCCTCTGATAGAACTTCTATTGTGACTCACGTTTTGAGTAATATGCTATGTGCAAGGAATATGGAGGGATATTCTAACCTTCATATTCCCCCCTTACATCAGGAACACATTATTATGCTTCTTAGCTACGAGGTGAATGCTTAATGATAGTTTAATGATGGAATTTGATTTATAACTTCCATTTCTTTCTAACATGCACAGTCAAGTGGCATTGCTGATCATGTCTTAAACAGACTTGTTCTGTCCTGTTTCTCATTTTTACTTGACTTCCAGTTGTGTTGATATTGCTTTTGCTACATGACTGCCCCGTTATGTTTACCCTCACGCAATCACTCATGGCTATTGTCGTTGCTTTCGGTGGCAGGCACCAAAAGTATACCCGTATAACAATCTGCAAGAGGAGCTTGGCGATCAAGATCGATAGGTTACTACATTGGTGCGCGCAAGGGACTTGTACTATTGTGCCAACACCTTTTGAATGTTGGGAATGGTTGGAAATAATTGGCTGTAGCTGAAATTTTAGCATCAACCCGACCATCAGCATTGTTCAATGCTTCTCTAAATTGTCTTTTTTTCCCCCACAATATCAGATGTTGCATAAGGTTTAGATGTTCCGCACTTTGGTGTGGGACAGATACCAGTACGCTTCATCTTTCTTATTTTTTGAACGTTGGTTTTGCTTCCTCTTGTTCATCAAAATCTTTTTGTGATTAATGTGAAATCAGTAACCATTTCCTCTCTCCTCTGCCACTCATGTTAATGCAGCGTTTCTGAAGTCATAGATAGTACCACATCAATTTCGCTTAGTTTGTATAGTTCAAGAAATATAATTTGAAAATTTCTATTTTTAATCAATTAAAATATTTTGTTTTCTTATATCTGATACCAAGGAATTTGTTATATTTAGGATATACTTGTTTGTAGAAAATATTTGTTATCTTGATCTCAAACAGCGAAAGTTAATGTGGAATATAGGGCGGAATGGCTGTGGAGCAAAAGATAACATTGGGCCTAATTATTTTCCTTAAATTTTGAAGCCCCTGTAAAGCCCAACTAGTGCTCAGTTCGCTAATTACGTGTGGCGCAAGTGGGTTGACTTGGTCAATGTCGGTTTTTGAGTGCGGCAAATATAACCGACTCTCTAACGTTCCAATTTGCCATTGCTATATATAGGTAACCAGCATCTCATTAAGTAACCTCTTATCTGCTGCTTGCTGAGTTCCTCCTGTTTTCGCGTCCGACATGAGATAATGCGGCGCCGGCGGGTTGCTTCTTTGGGATCGTTTTTAGTGATGAATAGAGAGTAGTGGCGCCTCTCTGACTCCGAGTTCGAGACCGTGTCTTCGCTCGATCGGCATTGGTATTTTGTTGCGGATCTCCCACGGTAGGTTTTTCGTGGTGTTTAATTGTTTATCGGTGAGGGAATCGTTATACTCTTTTTCTTATTGCTCGTTGTCTTTCCTCTACTATGCTTATGCTTATCCAGATTTTGCGGAGACCCGTCTGTTGCTTGATGCAAAATTTTCTTTGCTATCGTTGAATCCAGTTGCGTGGGTAAAAGGATTCAGAATCTGCTATTTATTTGCTTCGTGAGCCCTAATTTTGATGGTTTTAAGATATACAAGTTGTGGATCCTTCTTTTTTCTTCTAATTTAGAAATTGTGGGTGATGCATCCAGGAATCTGCAAAATTTGCCAAGAACACAGGTAATCGATGGTGTGATTTGCATATACGGGTTGTTGGTAGGTTTGTTTAACAGTAACAAAGTCGGAGGTTAGGGCTTCTAGTTTGATCAGCCCAGTTAGGGTTGGGTGTGCGGCCATGATTGTGCGCTCGTTAAGGGTATATAACCTGGTGAGTCTTTTGGAGGTATATTGCGTCGGGAGGGTTGGTAGGCAAGGCCAGGTGTTTCCCATCTATTACATGAGTTGAATGGTCCATGTTTCGCTTGGTGGGGAAATCTTTTATCTGGTATGATTCCTATTGCCCTTCCCTGTTGCCTATATTTTTTAAATCCAGATGGAAAATCCAAGAGCTGCGCCTTGATTTGCTCAATGATGCGCTTGCTGCAATAGCATGTGAATGATTATCTTTTGTTGCATCTTGTTGTTGGTCTACAATGCCTGATTATGGCTGTTCGATTATTATTATTTATGTTGCCATTTGCATACACCGTATTCTTTCACCTGCGGATTTCCTTCATTCAAGTTCCGCAGATTGCAATTGATAAAGTAAAATTGAATTCTGCAATGTTTCATTCAATCAATGTCACCTTGTGTACCCTTTGTAGTATGGTGATCACAAATGGTTATCTAATGCCATGTTGATGCTAGTTGAATCAATCTTTTAGACACTATAGTTGCCTTTCTGCTCTATCTAGTAAAGTGGAAATTACTACTGGAGTCCTAGAGGGGAATTCTGGAATGCTTATTTGAAACCAAGTAAATCCATTGATTGGTGGTCATGTTTGAGAAAGAAAGTTGGTCCGCAAGTGTCCCGTTGTCCCTAAAGTTGAAATTGTCCTGAATCATTCCAGTTGCCCTTCTGCTCTATCCTACTCGGTGATGCCCTTACTAGAGTCCTAGATGGGAACTTTGGAATGATTAATACTGAATGAGAAAATACATGGATTGGTGACTATGTTTAAGTAAGAACGTTGTCTGTCCGAAATTCCAGCAATTATTTAATCATTCCGGTTGCCCTTCTGCTCTATCTTGTGAAGACAAAGTCATAAATGGGGTCCTAGAATGGAACTTTGTAGTGAGTGATACTAACCAAGATGGATTTGGATTGGTTACCATGTTGTTGCTCCAGATGTTGTGTCCCTTTGACCGTTATTTTGAGATGATAACATTCGGTTGCCCCTCTGCTCGGTCCCAATGTTAACTGTGGAAGCCCTAAATTGAAATCCTAGGGGTTAATGATATGACAATAATACTTGGAAGTACTATCTGTTACGTTCAAAATTGACATGAGTACTTATTCATTATAGTTTCCTTTTCTTAATTTAACTTCATGAGTAGTACTTATGCTCTAGCGAGAAAATAGTCCATCCTTGTTAGTTCATAGATGCAGTTGCTGATATGACAATAATGTAAACTGATTATGAGGTGAATAGCAGAGACTCACGAGTCATGACAGTGTGACCATGATGTTGGCGCTTGAAAGAAGAATAGAAACTGTGTTTTCTGGTGGTCTTACGTGCCTTATGATTGTTCATTTCTTATTTGATAGATGACCTTCGACTTTGTTTCCAGCTTATGAAACCCATGTTTCTATTCCATGTTAAAAGCTCTAGTTGCATTCCTGTATTGGAGTTTTGGTGATACTTCCTGGGTTTCTTTTCCATGTTAGAAGCTCTGGTTGCAACTCCTGTAATGGAGTTTTGGTGATACTTCCTGGGTTTCTTTTCTATGTTAGAAGCTCTGGCTGCATTCCTGTAATGTAGTTCTGGTGATACTTCCTGATGGAAAGATGGTGGTCTTCTTTTATGTCCGTCCACTATTGGTAAGATGCAGATTCTTTGGTAATCTATCCTGCCTCCCCTTCATTTATTTTTCCCATTCAAATGGCATGATGAGGACATATACATAGAGGCCGGAAAGGTTGGATGTCCATGCCGATCTTTCATTGTTTGGTGGACGCTGTGATATGGTTCTTAATGTCCCTTCTCTGTTGCTAGAATCTTGAATAGGGATGGAAGATCTTTGAATTGCGTTGATTTTCTCATCAATGGACTTGCTGCAATAAGATGTGAATGGATATCTTTTGTTGAAGTAGCTCAATGCGGCTGTCCGATTATTGCCCTCTGGTGGCCCCATCCTTTTGCAATTATTAAATTTCTTCAAGTTTTGCAAACTGCATTATATATCCTACTGCTTGTCCCATAGCTAGAATGAACTTACAGTTTTGGTTGTTCCATTCAATTACAGTCTCCTTGTTGACCCTAATGTTAATCTGGTGACACACAAAGTAATATCCGTGGCCATGTTGGTTTCTCTTGAAGTGACTATATAGCCTTTCAAGTTACACTTTTGCTCTATGCTATTAAGTGAGAATTATAAATAGAGTCCTAGAGTGGAGATTCAAACAGGTAAAGACACGGAATGGTGGCCATGTTTGAGAAAGGAAGTTGGTAGGAAAGTTGTGTCCCATTGTTTCTACAACTGAAATCATCTATGATCATTCCAGTTTCTCTTCTGCTCTATCCTAGTCCGAATGCCTCAGCTAGAGTCCTGGATGTGACTCAACTTATAAAATGGCATGGTGGCCATGTTAGAGAGAGGAAGTTGGACCGAAAGTTGTGTTATGTTGTTACTGCAACTGAAATTATCTCTAATCATTCTAGTTGCCCTTCTGCTCTATCATACACATTGAATTCCCTAAATAGAGTCCTATATGGGAACTTTGTGATGATTAATACTGATTGAGAAAATACATAGATTGGTGGCTATGTTCGAGTAAGAACGCTGTTTGTCCAAGCTATTACTTAACCATTCCACTTGCCCTTATGCTCCATTTTGTCGAAGACAAGGTCATAAATTGAGTCCGTTGTTTATTACCCATTGTGTGTTATTCTGAGACGATCATTAATTGTTGTCGCTTCTGCACCATCTCAACTTCAATGACAGGTTGTTAGGCTGGAAGTCCTAATTGGTGTCCTAGAGGGCAACTTTGAATGATTTTAGCAAAATACCACGGTCCATTATGTCAGGTTCTGATTATCAAAATATTCTGTTTCTTTTCTTTATCATAATCAGTTGCTGCCCCTTAGTTGGAGGCCTGGAGGGGAACTTTTGAATGATCTATCTAGAATACTAGAAAACATTGTCCTTTATGTTTATAAATACAAAGAATTACTATCCGCGATGTCAGGTTATGGTTTATCAAACCGTTGTGTCCCTTTGTGTGTTACTCTGAGATGATCGTCATCGGTTACCCCTCTGCTCCATCTCAATTTCGATCAAGACAGTATTGAAAGTCCTAAATCGTCATATAGGGGAACTTTTGAATGATCCAACTGGAATGCCAAGAAAATGCTATTTGTTATGTTTAAGATAGACATGATTACTTGAGTACATTTGCTGCAGCTGCCCTCTATTCCAGTTTTTGGACGTATTGTGCAGTTAAAGTCCTTCATGGATGAAGGTGTATTTTGCGATATATATCAAGCAAGAAATATATCATCCTTGTTGGTTCATTATTGAAGCTATTGATATGACAATTGTGTTATCTGATTATGTAGTCAAGTACCGAGACTCGTGACCTATGATGGTTTGACTATGATGATGTGACTTAGGAAGTAGAATAGAAATTCTGTTTCTGGATGTCGTACTTTCCATATGATCCTTTACTATGACGATGGATCCTGATGTCTGTTTATTAATTTTGCTTGTTCGAATGGCCTGATGTGGAAATTGAAGGTTTACTCAGTTAGCCACATGACTGTGTCATGCTTGATGGGATCTTCTGAAAGCATTTGTGCTTTACTGTTGTGCTGTTCATATGATTATTAAGTATTAATAATAAGATTGATGCAAAGATAAGCTTAATACAATGGCTCTGTCGGTACTCAATGGTGATTGAAAACTGAAAAGGTTTCTGCAGTGTGACGTCGTACATGTTGGCAATCTGATTCAACCTTGAATTGGAATTTACTTGAGCAGGCTCTAGGCAAGACGATTGGTTGAAGTCAATGGTGGTTGAAAAGGTTTCTGCACCTTCACATCGTGCATGTTGATATTCTTATCTTTTATTGTAAATTACTCGAGCATAGGCTTTCGGCAAGACGATTGATTAGATATGATTGCCTGTCTACTTGTGCGGAAACTCTTGCAGCTTAGTTCCCGAGCTGCCGTCTTGCTTCACTGTAGTGAGTCACATTTTTTGCTGGCCTGATCAAAGGAATGATTTTGCTGTTGTGCATGTCACTGTAGAGTGATTGCAGTTGGAATCTCATAAGTCCACATCTGAGAGTACTCTAGGAGAAAGTGAGGCTCATGGTTTGTTTCAAATATATTATATTTAGTTCATTTACAGTTACGAAATGACATGACTTCCTATATGGACTTGCAAATTGCAATCCAACTCGAGCTATTACTGGAAGGTCCTGAAATGGGGACCTTCCTGAAATGGGGAAAAGTCCAAATCAAAACTCAAAGCAAAAGTAGTAAGATGTGGAAAATCTCAAAATTTCTGGTGGAGGCAAGAGAGGTGGATAGAGAGGTGGCAAATGGATGGCTGATGAGCTTAATTTCAAGTGCAGCAGATGTGTGAATAAGAACATAGGAACAGGGAGAAAGGTATAAAACAGACTTTAGACAGCAGAGTGTGCTGGCAGGTCTAGCTGGAATGGAATAAGCGCTTTTTTCCTTTACTTCTGCTCTTGCAATTGTGACTTGGAAGAAGGTCAAGATTGTGGTGGAATTGGTAACTGCTCATGATAGAGATTAAAGAGGGCAAGGATCAAGACATTCATTAGTTGAGAACTAAGCTGCCTATAATTTAAGTAACTCTGTTGTGATGTCTGACTGTCTGTGGAATCCTACAACCATTTATTTCTAATAAGATGCCACTTCGAGTAGACCTGTCATTGTTGTTGGTCTTCTGCTTTCTTTGAAGAAACCCACAAAAGGATCAACTTCGATGAATGGCTCCCACAAAGGAATCATGTCTATCAAATTTGCGTCGGTTTAGCAAGTGGTATAGTTTGACCCATGGTAAAATCGATTTGTGTGAACCATATCAGTTTAATAAAATATAAAAAATATAAAAATCATTAACATCAAATGAATTGAAGTATTAAATAATTGAGGATGGCTATGAAAAGTATGAAAAACATTCAAAACAAAATTATAAATACACATATTTAAATACAATATTTTGAATCCAACAAATAATATTAGCATTCAACTTCTGAATTTATGAAATAAGTAAAAAATTAATTTTTATTGACTATTTTATTCACTAAAATGACATAATTTTGTTTTGTTATTGCCAATTTTTTTTTGACCATTTTGTGAACTCTTAAAGCTACGTGACCATTTTGGTACAGTCCTAAAGTTAAGTGACCATTTCGGTGAATGACGTATTAAATAATTGAAAATAATAATCTGGAGTAAAGGAAAGACTCGACAAACCCTCCCATCTTCCTCACTCCTCCCTAAACCCT